TGAACAACTTACAGAGCAAGTATTAGGCTTATCATATTCAGCTGTCTGTTCATATTACCCTGTATCGACCACATCTAAGTAACATCAGCAAACTGTGCTGAATAATCAGTCACACCAGTTAGGTTTCTGTAAAGGTGAGATCAGTAAATGTATCACTGGGAAAAGTTAGAACTGCTGATGCATCTTCTCCTCTGACCTAGACAGTGTGGCTGTTCAACTTTTTCCAAGTTTGACTGTAAAATGGGGCTCCATGCAAGATCAAACAAACTCATTTAGCTAATAACACAGGCAATTCCAAATGTCTTCAAGAGCGCAAAGGGATAGGCATGAAGAAATCCAGTGTGGTGTTGTTAATGATAGTGAAAATCTAGAAACTACTTTAATGGGCATGAGCAGAACATAGGCAAGATCAGGAAGGAGCAAATACTTAATTCTCTGAGATGATGGAGAACAGGCAAGATTGAGGTGCTATTGTGGGTCAGAGTGGAGGTGGAGGGAAATTGAAGGCTGTTGTGTTTCTTGTGACTTCTGTGCTTTTTTTTAATGAAGTTTTTAGGGTTTTGGTAGGAATGAGGAGAGAGGCATGGTATGACTATTTTGAGAAAAATGCTTATGTTAGAATTGAAGACTGGGAGAAGGTCCTGTTAGAATTCACAGAGCTTGTGTTTGAGTTTCCCATTGATTGAAATGTAAAAGAAAGCATTCCTTGGTTTCACACTGGTTCTCCAGAGTGGTTTGCATTTTGATAGTAAAACTCATAAATGATTACTCACTTTGATAATTGCCTTTGATGTCTCTAAGAAAGACTCCTTTTCAAATCTTCCACCTTAATTTCTCTCTTTCACTATATCTGAGTTAGTTCACTATTTACCACTTTCTTTCTTTCTTTTTCTGCTAACCATTCCCCAGTTTTTCTTTCTGAAAGCAGAATTATAATCCTTAATACCTCCAGGGTTCCTTCCCCAGCCTCCCCTACCACACCCTTGCCAAAGCTCTTCTTTTATGTTGTTTAACAGTTGAGCTGAGCATATTTTCTTTTTTATATTTTAACTTTAATTATACATAATGCAGATGCTGTGTTAATTTCTGTTTTAACTTTTTTTTTTTTTTTTTGGTGGTCCTGAGCTTTGAACTAGTTTGAACACACTAGGCAGGTGCTCTACTGCTTGAGCCGTATCTCCAGCCCTTTTCACTCTGCTTATTTTTGAGTTAGGATCTTGCTTTTTTTGCTCAAGTTGGCTTGGATCCCAATCCTCCTGTTCACTCTTCCTACCATCACTGGGATGACAGAAATGCACTGCCATGCCCAACTTTTTCTACTGAGACAGAGTCTTGCAATTTTTTATTGCAGGGCTGACCTTAAACCAAAGATCCTGATTTCAGCCTTCCAAATATAGGATTACAGGTGTGATCCAGTGTGCCCAGCTATTCTTATTTAAATTTTTACTCAGTTTGTCATTCATTCATTCAGCAAAAAATGTATTTGAGTCATGATAATCAGGGATGGGAAGAGTAAGATGTGATGCCTAAAACTCTTATTATGTATTAGACAGCCTCTTCTATGTTCAAGAGTGTTCTAACTCAGAATATACTGATCAAAACACTTTTAGAATGATGAGCTATTATATTTTTCTTTCAATTTCTGTAATTATTAATTATAGTCCTATTTTTTAATCTATGGAGAGAAAGATGCATGTTTTTATTTTCACTGCTTCAGTTTTTTCTTTAGGAAACTAAAATAAAGCAAATGGATGAAATATTCTTTGATTTTATTACCTCTGATCATTACACATTATATACATTGCACATTACATATTATTTTGGTCAAGTTACAGACATACACAGACATATTTGAATAAGCTCTTGGAGGTGTTTAAATTAGGAACTACTGCTTCTTTATTAAGAAACATAGAAATGTATAGTACTTTTTAAATAGAAAATCAGAGGATAACCATTATCTTTCACTGTCATATTTCTACCTTCTCACACATTTTTTTCCCTTGCATGATGCTATGAAATGAGAGAACACATGCCACTTGCTGACTTGTGTTTTTCCCCACAAGATTTCCTTTTATTTCTTTCAAAATATTTTCTAGGTAAATAAAATAAAATAAAGCACACATGGAATGAAAATGGTTTTCTCTTTTAATCCAACTCAGACACACAAAGGGTGCAATATTTCCCATCTTAGAAATATGAGCCTTCAGTAAGTACAAGATTGACTTTGTAGTTTCTAAAAATAGTCTATACAATTATAATATTCAGCTGACATAAGACAGAGAGCTTATCATCAGATAATGTTTTAATACACTGATATCTAATGTAAATGCTCTCATCTGAGGACACCATTACTACTTTCACCTAACACAGCAAAACTAAATGAAACCCATTGTTCATAAAACAAAATGGGGTTTAACTTAAATATGACTTTTAAAGTTAGAAATAAAATTCAATTAATGACTTATTTGTCTATAAACCTGCTTATAGCCTATTCTATGCCAGGCTCTGAACCAAATATGGAGAAATGAATAGTAATTTAACACAAGAGACTATCTTAATCAACAACTGTGTCTGTATTACTAGTGCCATGTGAAGTATGCATATGATAGCATGAATGTGCAGAGGAGGGCACCTCCCTTTTATGGGTGAATCAAAGATACTCTCAGAAAGAAGGTAACTGTAAGAATGGGCCCAACAAATGGGAAGCAGAGAAGACATTCCAAGCAAGAAGAATGATTATAACCTGTGAACATGGAAACATGAGGCATCATATAGATGCCAAGATCTCACAGTAGAGGAGATTTAATTTGATTTTGAATTTATTTTTCACTTAATTTGCTATTGGTTTTATTAAGGCTGGATTATAGTATGAGAAAATGGAAGGAGATGAATGTAGTGCAAATCTTTGGGATTAAAAAGAAAATGATCTACCTAGGATATACAGTGCTCCAGGTTTCTGTTAAAGCATTGCCATAGGCTCAGGTCATGTTCAGATTTGCACTTCAGAAAGAATTTTGCGAGCAGTGTGGATGTGATCCTTAGGGTAATGTCATCTAACTCAGATGATAATATATCAAAAGATGAAAGATGATGTATTGTCTGGCATAGTAAGGATGGAGGGAGACAATTCAATTTAGAGGTATTTATTGATAAATTATAGAAGTCTTGGAATTTATTGGATGTGTGTGTAGAGATAATAGAAAGTATGGTGAATTTCAAGTTTCTGATTTGGTCAATTAGAAATATGAGGCAATTTACTAAGATCAGAAATGCATAAATGATGCAGGGTTGGGCATGGGGAGAAAGTGATGATGAGATAAATTCTGGACATGTTGAGTGTCAGATGTCTCTGTAGAGTATCTTAGTAAGAGATGGCCAATGGCAAATAGAAACATGTGTCTGGCACTCAGAACAAAAATCTAGGTTGGTGTGTTGTTTTTTATATTGGTGTTGACTTTTTAGAGAGCTGGTAGAACCTGGGCGTCCTCTTTGTATCTCCAACACATTGCACAGGGTAAGCCTTAGGGTTTCATATAATTCCCCAAATCTAACATTTTTTTATTCTAGGCACAAGGATGAGGTCCACTAATATGGAAGAAAGAAGGCTTTTCCATCAATTGATGCTCGTCTACTTCTTTCTCAACCTAATTATTGAGTACACTGAAGGAACTGAATTGGTGGGAGCAATTCAAAGCTTAAATGAAATCAGAATTAGACTAATGAGTAGTAATAAAGTATAATGTAACCACATTATATAACTTGGTAACTACTAAGCTGGTATATACCCAGGATTTCTTCCTTCATATTTTATCACATTGTCTGAATTTTCAGTTCTCCGTTAGGAATCATTTCTTTGATAAATACCCTGTCAGCAGATAATACCATACAAGTAATCAAATAGTTTTAATGAGATCTTTAATAGATCAGATTTCTTAAGATACCTAGAGAAAGGGTAACTGGGACAGTGCCAGAATGTTTTTTTTTTTCTATTTTCTCAGATCTCACTGGTATTTTCTTGAAATTAATGATTTTAATAATGGCAATTTGAGTCTCCAGAAGAAATTTCTTTCCCATTAAATTCATATTCCTTTCTTTCAGAAGCTAATGCTCTTTCCAAAAACATTATTAGAATTCTAGATATTCTAAACATAACTTTTAGATATCACTACAGTTTTTAATAAGAGAGAAGTAACATTTTGCTATGTTACAAGGAAGATGGAAATATGTGATATGAAGCATAATACATGAGATTTGTTGAAATTAGGCTTTGCCTTTTATGTCTCCACACAAATATATAGTAGTATTGCTTTTAGTTGGGTAATACAGCTGCTATAATGAATAGTAATAATATAGAAATAATCATTTCTATTAAAGTAGAAAGAATAGTTGTTTGAAACAATAGAAGCATATTTCTTGTTTATGTAACAGTCCAAGGAAAGTAATCCTGGCTGGCGTATGGCATTCTTCCATGCAGGGATTCAATAGCTTCGCTATCCCCTAGGGCCTTGTCGTTTGCATCCAGCTGGTAGATGGAGGAGAAAGTGTGGAGAAGCCATGCTTGTTTCTTAAGTTGTGATATAGATGTGACACACATCATTCTGCTTACATTACGTTGGTGAGATCTAAGGACATGGACCACATCTTAATGTAAGGGATGCTGGGAGATGTACTGCTGGCTAGGCAGCTGTTTTCCACTAACAAACCCATACAAAGCAAGTGGGAGCACAGGATTTTGGAACAGTTATCGGTCTTGGTTGCAGAGACTATATAATACATATGAACAAAGCACAAAGCTTACACACAAAAAAATGCTCATAATTTTATAGCCACACTTGAAACATATGATGGTGTTTTGAGTAGAAGTAAAATGCTTTAGATTGATACTTTTCATTTGTTCTGGATGTTATGTGGTTGCTGAGATACATTGAATATTAGCAAGAATGTTGAATTCTTTATTCTTTATGTATGAAAAACTGAGACTTTCTTTTCTTACTTTTAAGGTTGGACAAAATTTGCCCGGTTGACACGGGCTTTGACTAATAGCCGAAGTGTTCTGCAGCAGCTTACACCAATGAATAAAACAGAGGTGGTCCACAAGCATTCAAGATTAGCTGAAGTAAGTAGGAGGCTAACTTTGATTCTGAAGATGGTGGTGGTGGTGGTTACATTTTTGCCACAAATGATTTAATATCAGTATTTCTAGCTATTACATCAGAAATGCTTAGCTGGTGTTTTATTTTTCCCCCTGTATATGTCCCAAATATTTCTTTTTATTCTCTCCAACTTTTGAAATAAGAATGTAGCACATGGCATCTTAGTTGGCATCTTTAGAGTTGTGAGGTTTAATTTGGGTGAATGGGATAGGGAATTAATTTGTCCCATCATTCTAGGTAGGCTCACTGAGTGAGGTGGCACCTGGGCTGAAGGAAAAATACATTAGACAAGTAAATAAGGGAGGCCAGCATTGCAAAGGCCCAAGATATGATAGTAGGAAGGCTTTGAGTATAACTTCAGTCTGGTTGAATCTTGAGTGTGGTCAGGAGTGGTGGATGGTGATATGGTGGGGGTAGGTGTCTCATGTGTCAGGAAAATGACATAATCACATTTGTTGCTCAGAACAATCTCTCAAAGAGAGATTGGTCCTACCCAGTTTCTTTTATAATCTCATATTTTTCATTGCATTAATTTAAAAACATCTAAGAAGGAGTCCATAGCTTTTTACCAGATTGCCAAAGGGATCCAACACATTAAAGTGGTTAAGATATTTTGTTGTCCTATGGTTCCATGAACAATGAGTAGGTAGGGAAATCAGTTGAGGAGTCCTAGTAGTAATTTAGTTAGAACAACCATGGCCATAAGCCAGGTAGTGGTAGCAGAAGTGAGCAGACTACAGACACACCAGGGTTAGAGTCAACATACTTGTTGATTAGGACAGAGTGTGAAACAAGGGGATGAATTAACTCAATTCTATGTTTTTGGTTTGGACATGAGTAGTGTTGGTTAATAAAATGACAATACAAAAGGAGGAAAAGAATGTTTGGGGGACAGCAATAATGAGTTCAGTTTTGAACATACTACATTTGAAATGCCTGTTGGAAAGCCTAGTGGAGATGTCTATGTGGTAGTGGGTTATATGGGTCTCGCACTCTGGAGGGATATTTGGGTTTGAATTATAGGCATCTGTATCATGTTCACATATTTTAAAGCCAGAGGACTAGACAAGTGTACCCTGAGAAAGTATATCAAGACTAAAGACTAAAGAGAAAGGAATGAGATAGAACACCAAGGTAGCTAAAAGCCTTTTTACTCACATGTCTTCTGTAATTATCATTTGTCTTCCTGGTATGAAAGATGCCAGAAATCTAATTAAGCTACCAAAACTATGTTGAACATGGTGGGTGCTCAGACAATATTCTGAGGTAACTCACTGAGGAGGAGAGAGACTCCAACATTAAATACATGTTTTCATCAGTTTACCCATCAGAGAATAGTGAGTTGGACCATCCCAAGTAATGTCCTAGCTAGTTGTAATTACCAGATCTGGTTTAGAGAGGGTTGCAAAGGGAAATCCATTTCCTGAATTTAGAGAGCTCTGGAGTTTTTCATAGTGTATAGGTAGCAAAGATCTTGTCATTTTTTTTTTTTTTTTCTCTCTCTCTAAATACAGTGCTTGCTAAATACTTTGAGGTATAGACCTGTTTTAAAAAGTGAAAAAAGACATTAATGTAATGGTAACTAATATTTACAACATTTAAAAAGATGGTATGCAATTAGCACAAGATTTAAACAATAACTTTTCTGATAGTGTTTGTTGTTAAGTACTTTTTGATCCTGATGTTGCCTTTTCTGCCTGAGTTGCCCATTTACTTCTGCAACCCAGGCTGAAGAACAGTAACTTGTGTCTGTGACTGTGAATCACATAGTCCTGTTTCCTTCTGCCTCTTAATGACACCTTATTCAGAGATTTTCTTTTCTCTGTTACACAGGACCAAGAGAAAAGAACCCCTGCTTTAGCTCCCTGTATCACTCAGGATTTTTCTAAAAAAAACTTATGCCAAGTACAGTTTCTTTCCTCTTGACATTTCATCAGTTTTATTTACACTTTCAAGGAATTTTCATTTCTGGTTCTTCCCTCATTTTTTTTGCTCTGTCCTTTTGATTTTTGTTAGTTATTTTTCATCTGTCATCCCTATGTCATAAGCCTGACTCCAATACAAAAGTGCTTTCTGTCACATCTCAGGCTTAATTTCGGAGAACACGTAGAAACAATCAGGTTTTGAAGATTTAGCCTGTGGTTCTAAAGTCTGTGCTGTTAGACTTCCAAAAGCAGACCCAAAAGAAATAGTAAGTAGTCACAAGAATGTTGGTTTTCAAATTATACTCAAGGGCTGGCAGATGGCTCAAGTGGTAGAACGCCTACCTAGCAAGCCTAAGGCCCTGAGTTCAAACCCCAGTACCACAAGAAAAAGAAAGTCTCAAATTATACTCAAAGATTCATGTAAATTACTCAAGATAAGTATCTGGTTTTGCTATGGAACTTTAGGGATTTTTCACTTTTTCCAAGACACATAAATTTTATCTCAGTTTCATCTGACCTCCCACATTTGGAATAACCCCCAGTTTCAAAGATTCCAGTCTCCAAGTGAGCAGTTAACTGATTACCCACATGCACTGGCATCCTGCTGATTGCTTCAGCTGGCTCACGTTTATGGTGAGTGGGGGTAAATATACACAATTCTGCCTTGTCAGTGGACCTGACTCTTTTAGCTTCCATGTTCTCGCATCTTCAGAGGGGAAGAATGAAACTGTATTGGTACAAGATACATCAGAAAATGTGATTCCATTCGCTCTCCACCTAAGGCTTATTGCTTATGAAAAGAAGAAAGAGTTACAACTTTGCAAAAGAGTCCAGTGAAGAGCTAAGATTAAAGTAGTACTTTGCGTATGAGAAGATCAAGCCCAAATACTGTGCACTTTTTTGTTGTTGTTCTTTTCCTTCTCTTGTACTTCTTATTTTTCCTTCCTGCTTTCTCTTCCTCTTCTTGCCCCTCCTCTTTTCCCTCATCTAGCATTTTTTTTTTTTTTTTGGTATTTTACATAAGCTGCTAGTCCTGTCTGTAGAATTGGGATACGACTTTGAGCTGAACTGTATATTATCATCACCTGGAAAAAAAATTTTTTAAAAGAGATATATATCCTCTGAGAACCCACACAACATCAAATTTTTTCCTTTACTGTCTGCATTTTAAAAGTTTTTAAATTTTATTTCTGAATTATCATACATTAATACTATGAAGTGTTTCCTTGTGATAATTTTCATACATGGTATAGTGTGCCTTCAACAAGTTCACCCCCTCAAGTTTATTTCCATTTCCTTTGCTCTCCTCCCCCTTTTCAAACATTCTGTGGTGGATTTCATCAACAATTTAATCATCCTTTGGGCTGGGGTCTAGGTGTAAGCATACTGGCATACTATATTTTAAAAAACCTCCCCAGATTCTAATGTGTAGCCAGACTTAAGACATATTGATTCTGGTGTGTGGGGAGGTGTTGTTTTCTTTCTTTAGAGAAGATATCTTACATTTTTGCAGGATAACGAGCTGGGCCAACCTACTTATTAATAAAGTAGATAGGCATGGTGTCTAGTGCCCACAACACTTTCAGAACCCCACAAAATGTTTAATTTTTGATTAAAAGCAGAAGAAAAATGAAGTTTTAGGTAAAATTTGAATATATTGCATTAATATATTTGTCTTTGTACTAAAGTCATTAAAAATATTGTTTTGGAATGAGAGGATAAGGTCCAGGAAGACAAGAAGGCTTAGGCCTGTGAAGGTGCTAGTGTACCCTAGCACACAGTTTGTTCTTTTTTTCCAGTTCTGGTTTGTTTTTATTCAAATTATACACTGTGTAGATAAAGATGGTAAAATACTGGCAGTGAGTATGAAGGAAATATTCCTGTTTCACACAGAAAATTGGAACTGACAGATCAGTGTTTGAAAAGTGAGAGAGAAACCAAGATTATGCATGGTTCTTTACATATGAGACACATGAGGCTTACATTCCCGGTAGGAGAATTTACCAAGTAATTTAAGATGTATGGGAAGAATATGCCTGGGACACTGAGAGCATAGGTTAAATTTAAAATATCCTCCTAAATACTTCTTATAATTCCCAAACTAAAAACATAAACAATGTACAATTAAACATAATGTATAGTGATGTTTCTCGTATTGTAAACATCTAGAATGTATTTAATATAGTTTTCAACTATATGAGTTCTTTTTATGAGGAAAATTTTAGGGTACTCTCCCAAGTTTAAAAAGGTGCAACTATATTTGTTCTGTTTTGTGACCTATAATCCAGAGTTATATGCTAAGGAACATTTTTTTTTTTTTGAAATTGAACATCTATTTTGTTTATTTATTTATTTTCTTTTATTATTCATATGTGCATACAAGGCTTGGGTCATTTCTCCCCCCTGCCCCCACCCCCTCCCTTACCACCCACTCTGCCCCCTCCCTCTCCCCCCCACCCCCTCAATACCCAGCAGAAACTATTTTGCCCTTATTTCTAATTTTGTTGTAGAGAGAGTATAAGCAATAATAGGAAGGGACAAGGGTTTTTGCTGGTTGAGATAAGGATAGCTATACAGGGCATTGACTCACATTGATTTCCTGTGCGTGGGTGTTACCTTCTAGGTTAATTCTTTTTGATCTAACCTTTTCTCTAGTCCTGTCCCCTTTTCCTATTGGCCTCAGTTGCTTTTAAGGTATCTGCTTTAGTTTCTCTGTGTTAAGGGCAACAAATGCTAGCTATTTTTTAGGTGTCTTACCTATCCTCACCCCTCCCTTGTGTGCTCTCGCTTTTATCATGTGCTCATAGTCCAATCCCTTGTTGTGTTTGCCCTTGATCTAATGTCCACATATGAGGGAGAACATATGATTTTTGGTCTTTTGGGCCAGGCTAACCTCACTCAGAATGATGTTCTCCAATTCCATCCATTTACCAGCGAATGATAACATTTCGTTCTTCTTCATGGCTGCATAAAATTCCATTGTGTATAGATACCACATTTTCTTAATCCATTCGTCAGTGGTGGGGCATCTTGGCTGTTTCCATAACTTGGCTATTGTGAATAGTGCCGCAATAAACATGGGTGTGCAGGTGCCTCTGGAGTAACCTGTGTCACAGTCTTTTGGGTATATCCCCAAGAGTGGTATTGCTGGATCAAATGGTAGATCATGTCTAGCTTTTTAAGTAGCCTCCAAATTTTTTTCCAGAGTGGTTGTACTAGTCTACATTCCCACCAACAGTGTAAGAGGGTTCCTTTTTCCCCGCATCCTCGCCAACACCTGTTGTTGTGGTGTTGCTGATGATGGCTATTCTAACAGGGGTGAGGTGGAATCTTAGTGTGGTTTTAATTTGCATTTCCTTTATTGCTAGAGATGGTGAGCATTTTTTCATGTGTTTTTGGCCATTTGAATTTCTTCTTTTGAGAAAGTTCTGTTTAGTTCACTTGCCCATTTCTTTATTGGTTCATTAGTTTTGGGAGAATTTAGTTTTTTAAGTTCCCTATATATTCTGGTTATCAGTCCTTTGTCTGATGTATAGTTGGCAAATATTTTCTCCCACTCTGTGGGTGTTCTCTTCAGTTTAGAGACCATTTCTTTTGATGAACAGAAGCTTTTTAGTTTTATGAGGTCCCATTTATCTATGCTATCTCTTAGTTGCTGTGCTGCTGGGGTTTTTGAGAAAGTTCTTACCTATACCTACTAACTCCAGAGTATTTCCTACTCTTTCCTGTATCAACTTTAGAGTTTGTGGTCTGATATTAAGATCCTTGATCCATTTTGAGTTAATCTTGGTATAGGGTGATATACATGGATCTAGTTTCAGTTTTTTGCAGACTGCTAACCAGTTTTCCCAGCAGTTTTTGTTGAAGAGGCTGCTTTTCTCCATCGTATATTTTTAGCTCCTTTGTCAAAGACAAGTTGGTTATAGTTGTGTGGCTTCATATCTGGGTCCTCTATTCTGTTCCACTGGTCTTCATGTCTGTTTTTGTGCCAGTACCATGCTGTTTTTATTGTTATTGCTTTGTAATATAGTTTGAAGTCAGGTATTGTGATACCTCCTGCATTGTTCTTTTGACTGAGTATTGCCTTGGCTATTCGTGGCCTCTTGTGTTTCCATATAAATTTCACAGTAGATTTTTCAATCTCTTTAATGAATGTCATTGGAATTTTGATGGGAATTGCATTAAACATGTAGATTACTTTTGGGAGTATCGACATTTTTACTATGTTGATTCTACCAATCCATGAGCATGGGAGATCTCTCCACTTTCTATAGTCTTCCTCAATCTCTTTCTTCAGAAGTGTATAGTTTTCCTTGTAGAGGTCTTTCACATCTTTGTTAGGTTTACACCTAGGTATTTGATTTTTTTGAGGCTATTGTAAATGGAATTGTTTTCATACATTCTTTTTCCGTTTGCTCATTGTTAGTGTATAGAAATGCTAATGATTTTTCTATGTTGATTTTATATCCTGCTACCTTGCTATAGCTATTGATGATGTCTAGAAGCTTCTGAGTAGAGTTTTTTGGGTCTTTAAGGTATAGGATCATGTCGTCTGCAAATAGGGATATTTTGACAGTTTCTTTACCTATTTGTATTCCTTTTATTCCTTCTTCTTGCCTAATTGCTCTGGCTAGGAATTCCAGTACTATGTTGAATAGGAGTGGAGATAGTGGGCATCCTTGTCTGGTTCCTGATTTTAGAGGGAATGGTTTCAGTTTTTCTCCATTAAGTATAATGCTGGCTGTAGGTTTGTCATATATAGCTTTTATAATGTTGAGGTACTTTCCTTCTATTCCTAGTTTTCTTAGAGCTTTTATCATGAAATGGTGTTGGATCTTATCAAAGGCTTTTCTGCATCTATTGAGATGATCAAGTGGTTTTTGTCTTTGCTTCTGTTAATGTCGTTTATTACGTTTATTGATTTTCGTATGTTGAACCACCCCTGCATCCCTGGGATGAAGCTTACTTGGTCGTGGTGAATAATCTTTTCGATGTGTTGCTGAATTCGGTTTGCCATTATTTTGTTGAGGATTTTTGCATCAATGTTCATTAAGGAGATTGGCCTATAGTTCTCCTTTTTGGAGGTGTCTTTGCCTGGTTTGGGGATAAGTGTAATACTGGCTTCCTAAATTGTGTTTGGCAGTTTTCCTTCCCTTTCTATTTCATGGAACAGTTTAAGGAGGGTTGGTATCAGTTCTTCTTTAAAGGTCTGATAGAATTCAGCAGAGAATCCATCAGGTCCTGGACTTTTCTTTTTGGGGAGACTCTTGATTGCTGCTTCAATTTCATTTTGTGTTATAGGTCTATTCAGGTGATTAATTTCCTCTTGGTTCAGTTTTGGATGATCATATGTACCTAGAAATCTGTCCATTTCTTTTAGATTTTCAAATTTATTTGAATATAGGTTCTCATAGTAGTCTCTGATGATTTCCTGGACTTCCATGGTGTTATCTCCCCTTTTGCATTCCTAATTTGGTTTTTTCTCTCCTCATCTTTTTAGTCAGGTTTGCCAGGGGTCTATTGATCTTGTTTATTTTTTCAAAGAACCAACTTTTTGTTTCATTAATTCTTTGTATGGTTTTTTTGGTTTCTATTTCGTTGATTTCAGCTCTTATTTTTATTATTTCTCTCTTTCTATTTGTTTTGGGATTTGCTTGTTCTTGTTTTTCTAGGAGTTTGAGATGTATCATTAGGTCATTGATTTGGGATCTTTCAAACTTTTTAATATATGCACTCATGGCTATAAACTTTCCTGTCAGGACTGCCTTAGCTGTGTCCCATAGGTTCGGGTAGGTTATGTTTTCATTTTCATTGACTTCCAGGAACTTTTTAATTTCCTCTTTTATTGCATCGATGTTCCATTCTTCATTAAGTAATGAGTTATTTAGTTTCCAGCTGTTTGCATGTTTTTTGTCTTTACTTTTGTTGTTGAGTTCTACTTTTACTGCATTGTGATCAGATAGTATGCACAGTATTATTTCTATTTTCTTATATTTGCTGAGGCTTGCTTTGTGCTCTAGGATATGATCTATTTTGGAAAAGGTTCCATGGGCTGCTGAGAAGAATGTATATTGTGTAGAGGTTGGATGAAATGTTCTGTAGACATCTACTAGGTCCATTTGATCTATTGCATATTTTAGATCTTGAATTTCTTTATTGAGTTTTTGTTTGGATGACCTATCTATTGATGATAATGGGGTGTTAAAGTCTCCCACAACCACTGTGTTGGCGTTTATATATGCTTTTAGGTCTTTCAGAGTATGTTTGATGAAATTGGGTGCGTTGATATTGGGTGCGTACAGATTGATGATTATTATTTCCTTTTGGTCTATTTCCCCTTTTCTTAGTATGGAATGTCCTTTTTTATCTCGTTTGATCAATGTAGGTTTGAAGTCTACTTTGTCAGAGATAAGTATTGCTACTCCTGCCTGTTTTCGGGGGCCACTGGCTTGGTAAATATTCTTCCAGCCTTTCATCCTAAGCATATGCTTATTTCTGTCAGTGAGATGAGTTTCCTGTAAGCAACAAATTGTTGGATCTTCTTTTTTAATCCATTTTGTCAAACGGTGTCTTTTGATGGGTGAATTAAGTCCGTTAACATTAAGTGTTAGTACTGATAGGTATGTGGTGATTCCTGCCATTTAGTTGTCTTAGTTGTTTGAAGGTTTGATTGTGTGTACCTAACTTGATGTTACTCTCTACTGTCTTGCTTTTTCTTTTCCTGTAGTTTGGTACTGCCTGTCTAAGGAACATTCTTGTTTAATGTAGTCCTACACCCAAATGTTTAAAGCATTTATGATGTAGATTTTTTTTGACACTTACCTCCTGGGTCCATGAATTCTATAAGGCATTGAATAATTGGTGGCAGAAGATGGAAAAAGTCTGTTGGGAACATTATTTACCAAATTTCTACTTACCAAATTTGCCAAACTCAGAGATTATTTTTAGCTGCACTGATGGTGTGAAGCAGAGGTTTTTGATCTCTTCCTTCAACTTTTTTTTTTTTTTTTTTCACAATTTGTAAGTTCCAGAAGCAGTGCTAATTCCTGTGTTTGCCTTTGGCTGGAGTACCCAAACTTATACTTGCTTTGCCCTTTGCTTTTTATCTTTGTCTCATATTTTAATTAGATCTAACCAGAGAAAGTTAAGGTTCATATAACCTTTCACTGAAAATTTTCCATTTATCAAAAAGTTATAGTGAAGCAAACCTGAGAATTTAACAGTTTTTTCCCTAAAGGAAATTTGCATCTGGCAGGATGCACAATATTCTTTAAGTCTTGGTTTAAGAGCAAAAAAGGGAATGACAGGCTGTAACACAGCCTGGTACACTGCTGTGCTACTCACAAGGGCCCATGCTGAGTATCACTGAAAGGCAAGATCACCAAAGTGGGGACTTGGGATTTAGCAAGACATCAGAATTCAAGCTGTTTCCTAAGGTGCTAAATATGAGTGAAGAAGAGTGGGTAACAGTGAGTCACCCACATATCTGTTGGTCAAGCAATGAGGGACTTGTGGCTCTAGGCAGACTGACAGAGTGGGTGCACAGAAGGCACCCTCATAGTGGACATTTGGTAGTACTCTGGATCAGTCTTGGCCATTGGAGAGCAAGACAGCTGGATTGGTAGACCCATGAACTTTTGAAGAATAATTAAAGTGGCAGTGACTTCCTTCAAATAAACTTAGGACAACTCCAGAGAGGGAGATGAAACTACAGGGCATGATTGACCTTAAAACCAAGAATCACCACAAATAGGCTGTGGTTTGACTGCCAAGAAGTTTGAATTCATAATTAACTAGGCATATTCTCTCTTTTAGGTTCTTCAGCTGGGATCAGACATCCTTCCTCAGTATAAGCAAGAAGCGCCAAAGACGCCACCACACATTATTTTACACTATTGTGCTTTCAAAACTACCTGGGACTGGGTGATTTTAATTCTTACCTTCTACACCGCCATTATGGTTCCTTACAATGTTTCTTTCAAAACGAAGCAAAACAATGTTGCCTGGCTGGTGCTGGACAGTGTGGTGGATGTTATTTTTCTGGTTGATATCGTTTTAAATTTTCACACAACTTTTGTGGGGCCTGGTGGAGAGGTCATTTCTGACCCTAAGCTCATAAGAATGAACTATTTGAAAACCTGGTTTGTGATTGATCTGCTGTCATGTTTACCTTATGACATCATCAATGCCTTTGAAAATGTGGATGAGGTGAGTTTTTCTGATTTCATTTTGAGTATTGTGAATCATATGTTTTGAAAATATCAGGAGAAAAGGATTCCACAGATGATACAAACATCTTTTAGGTACCACTTTCAACTTTAATCCTACTAAACACTTGCCATATATTGTATTTAACTGCCTTCAGTTAATTTTCATTTATTTTTTTGGTCCATAATTTCTGGTTGAAATGCTAATTATGAGGAAAATGACTGTAGTTAAATGTTGTGGTTGGAGAAGGTGGAGGAAAAGAAAAATGGCAGCATTTGGACTCAAATATAATTAATCCAGATAATGGGTTAAAAGATGATGAAGTAGATGTGTTTTCTTTGAAAATTTGCAGCAATTTTACAGCTCCATGGGTCTTTTAACTCCTTCCCTCCAGAAACATATGGTAGCAGTGCTAGGGTTAACATAAAGATGAAGATACTGCAGTTAAAAAATTTTTGCCATTTTGATTTCTGCTTTTGCTTTAAATTTTGTCAGAAAACATTTGTGGGTAGAAATTGGATGTCTTCTGATGCCATCCAATTCAAGGTTCTGGTCCTGCAGTATTATCTCTGTACCTGGAAATACTTAAAATGTGTAGTATGTTAAAAGACCACTTCATTCTCAGCTTCTTAACCTCTAACTTAAGAGTGGATGCTTTTCCAGTTGCTACACCAAGTTAATAGGATGCACCCAATAACTGGAACTAACAAAATATAAATGAGTCAATACAGAAGCTCTATTACTAAAATGTTTTTATAATGATAATGTTACTACATTAATTTCCCTAAAGAATTTGCTATGTCCCTATTAGACTGTTCAGATGAAAAGTCCTCCACTACAGTGTTTTCATTGCTACTGTGTGTGCATTGGGAGGTAGATTGAAACTTTTCTTTGGTGACTACTTCCATAAAATTTCTACATTCAATCACTTATGATATTAAAATATATTCCTCCAAAAGTAAAGTGTGCACATTGTATTTTGATATGGTGTGCATATTTTAAAAATATGGAAAAAGGGAATCATAGTAATTCATTTTCTAATTTTAGATTCCACCTACATAAAGCTTTTAAAGTCACATTTATCTCTTAAATTTAGCATCCAGAGACGGTGAAAAGGAGTAAATTTTGAAAGTGCTAATCATATCAGGGTACACTTGCTACACAGAGATTATTACATTAATATATTGTAATTTCAGTTATTTAGAGCAGAAGCATAATGACTTTAATAAAAATAATTGTTCATGAATTCTAAAGAAGTTGATCTTAAGGAAGTAGAGAGGAGAATAGTGATTGATACAGGCTGAGATGATTGGAGGAAGGCTGGAATTGTTGACTAAAGGATACAAAATTTCACTTAGTAGGAAAAAATTCAAGAGATACATTGTGCAACATGGTTTCTATAGTTAATGATAAATTCTTGGAAAGTACTGAAAGAGTGGATGTATGTAACATAGTTCTAGTCTAATACTTAACTTTGCATTGCTATAATAAAATATCTGGAACAAGTTACTTAGGAAATAAAGAGAAATTTATTTTGCTCTTGTTCTTGGAGGTTTAAGCACAAGATTGGGCAACCCCATTTCTACCCCATTGGCAGATAGCAATGGTGAGATCACATGGTGGTGCAAGAGAGCACATCTTGAGCCAGGAGCAAAGAGTGGACAGGCGAGGTCCTATGATCCCTTATAGTGGCACACTCCCAATGATATAGGGACTTCCCTTAGGCCTTTCTTTTAATGGTCCATAGGACCTTCCAACAGTACCACCCTGGGGACCAAGTTGTTATGTATAGCTCTCTGGGGGATTTTCAATATCCAAACCATAGCTGGGAGTAAGCATTCTCATCACAAAAGTGATAACCAGGGCTGAGCATGGTAGTGCATACTTGTAACCCCCAGAGATGGAGATGGGAGGATCATAGTCTGCAGCTAGCCTGGGCAAAAGACTAAGGTCCTGTCTGAAAAACAAACTATACTAAAAAGGACTTGGGTATGGCTCAAGTAGAAGAGCAAGTGTGAGGCCCTGAGTTCAAATGCTGTACCGCCAAAAAAGGTGATAAGTATTTGAGGTAATGGATATGTTAATTAGCTAGATTCCTGTGTTATGGTCTGAAGGTTCACCAGCTTCTTCTCCCTGTCCTTTATCTTTCCAAGGCATTCATTCCAGTGAAATTCTTGCACAAATTACCCTGGCTTGGCACCTGCTCCTTATAGGACCTAAATCAGGTGGAGTTTGGGACAAGGTACTTGCACACATTGCACAATGGAGTGTAAATCAATAAAACCTCTGTAAAGAATAATTGGCAGTGTCCTTTTTTTGGTGATACTGGAGTTTGAACTCAGGTCTAGCTGCTTGCTAAGTAGGCACTGTACCATCTGAGTCACTCCTCCAGTCCCTTTTTGGTCTGGTTATTTTGAAGATAGGGTCTTGCTTTTTGCCCAGGCTGGCTTGGACCACAATCCTCCTAGTTTTGGCTTCCCACCATATTTGGGATGATAGGTGCATGCTGTCACAACCAGCAAGGGTCTGTTGAGATGGGGTCTGGCAAACTTTTTTTGCCCAGGCTTGCCTTGAACTGCTATCTTCCTGATAGCAGTTTCTCAAGTAGCTAGGACTACAAATGTGAGCCACTGGCACCTGGCTTGGCAAGGTCATATTAAAAAAAAAAAAACCACAAAAACCAGCCAGGCATGGTGGCATACCTATAATCCTAGCAGTCAAGAGGTTGAAGCATGAGGATCATGAGTTTGAAACTGGCCTAGGCTACATTGCAATACTCTATCTCAAAAAGCATGCATGCATACATACATACATACATGAAAAAGAACAGATTCTAGAGGCAACTGCTTTCAAATTCTTCCAGGGGATTCTTTTATCATTTGCTTCCATACCAGAAAATAACCTGATTCTATATCTTTCGTCTTGATACTTCAGTTTTAGGCTTGGTCTGTGACTTCTCATTATGGAAGAAGTTCCACCTTCTTTATTTACATGCAACATTTCAATCACCTCATTCTCATAAAATAGGTATCTCATCCTTTTGGCTCAATAAATATTGGATGTTTATATTATTATGACTATAATGTGCTCTTTGTAACAAATCCTTGCTATGATTACTTTTCCTTTTTTGCACTTTCTATTTTTCTCAGAGTTGGTAACTGTTGACTTTTATCATTTGCTTAGTTTTCTGTGTTCTCACCATGCTGATTAACCACTCCGCTCTCTGTTAATTGTCTAAATCTCCCTTCATTACATTGATCCAAGAGTTACTCTTTCAGCATCATTGAATCTTAAGAAAACCTGTCTTTACTCTACCCTCCTACCTGAGGGAGAGTTTGGCTAGCTATAATATTCTAGGTTAGAGATAACTTCTTTTTTTATTATTATTATTTTATTATTCATATGTGCATACAAGGCTTGGGTCATTTCTCCCCCCTGCCCCCACCCCCTCCCTTACCACCCACTCCACCTCCTCCCTCTCCCACCCACCCCCTCAATACCCAGCAGAAACTATTTTGCCCTTATCTCTAATTTTGTTGTAGAGAGAGTATAAGCAATAATAGGAAGGAACAAGGGTTTTTGCTGGTTGAGATAAGGATAGCTATACAGGGAGTTGACTCACATTAATTTCCTGTGCATGTGTGTTACCTTCTAGGTTAATTCTTTTTGATCTAACCTTTTCTTTAGTTCCTGGTCCCCTTTTCCTATTGGCCTCAGTTGCTTTTAAGGTATCTGCTTTAGTTTCTCTGCGTTAAGGGCAACAAATGCTATCTAATTTTTTAGGTGTCTTACCTATCCTCACCCCTCCCTTATGTGCTCTCACTTTTATCATGTGCTCAAAGTCCAATCCCATTGTTGTGTTTGCCCTTGATCTAATGTCCACATATGAGGGAGAACATACGATTTTTGTTCTTTTGGGCCAGGCTAACCTCACTCAGAATGATGTTCTCCATTTCCACCCATTTACCAGCGAATGATAACATTTCTAGAGATAACTTCTTTTCAGAATTTTGAAAGATACAATGCCATTGTATTCTGCCTCCCAATAATTCTGTATAAGAAATCTGAAGCTACTTTGATTTCTGAACCTTTACATGTGACCTGTTTTCTTTTCCCAAAAGTTTCATGGTATCTTGTGTGTCCCAAGAAGTTTTAAAACTTCCTGATGATGGCTTAGTAGAAAGTCCTTTTCATATACTTTTGATGGTTATTGACTGGATGGCCTTGATCAGTCTGAAAAAGCATGCCTTTTGTCTTGACATTTCTTCTGAGGATGATTTTGTCCATTCTTTTCTACTTTTCTTCACTTTCTCTTTCCAGAACACCTTTTATTCAGATATACCTCTTGGATTAGTCCTCTACTACCTTGGTTTTTTCTCTTCTACTTTCCAACCCTTAATCTTTCTGCTTTACTTTCTGTGAGATTGTTTTTAACATTATTTTCTAATTTTGTTCATAATAATATGCTTTTTTGCCTAAGGTCTACTTTGCTTGATACAATATAGGTTTTTTATAGTTAGTGTGCATTTGGTATGTGTATTTTTACCCTTTTACATTGTATAGTTTTAGGTTATTATAATTGATACATATTTATAAAAATTAGATAGATTCTGAGAGTCTCTTTAAACTAACTAGTTTAGAGGGTTGGAGGGGTAGATGGAGGGGTTATCTAACCAATGTACAATCTAAGGCTGCTCAGAGTTGCCTCAACAAATCTCCCCTGTACAGTAGATATATGCTAATAAAAATGGAGAAAAACCCTAAAATAAAGTGATTAGTTTAATTTATATTTATTGTTTAATTATGTTTTGATTTACTTAAAATATCATAGTTTCCATTTTAAAATACTTTTTCTTTGCATTTCTTTCTCTTTTTTGTGGTGCTGGGGCTTGAACTCAGGGCCTACACTTTGAGCTACTCCACCAGCACTTTTTTGTGATGGGTTTTTCCAGGTAGGGTCTCACGAACTATTTGCCCTGGCTGGATTTGAACTGCAATCC